TAGATATATAGAGAAATATAGAGATTTATTCATTCATTTATTTATGAAGGAAAGTTTCATTTCACACACACTAGTTTTGCAGAGTAAAGTGTATATGTAGTCCCCAAGTAATATGTGATTCAGGTGTTCTGGACTCTCAAGGTTGAACTCCCAGCCTACCAAAGGATGGCCGTGACCTCTCATTGGACATCCCTGCCTTCACTGCCTCACCAGTACACAGGAGCTTCCTCCCTTGCCCCCAAGTCAACATCTGGCTGTGCCTGACCTACCATCATCAGGCAGCTTGTACTCCCAACCCCAACCCAGCCGTTGCATGCCAAGGGCTCCATACAGTACCGTTTTCTTGGGCCGGGTGGCAGTCATATTCCAAACCGGTTGACCTGCAGCAGAGCCAGCAGACTTTGGATCCAACTTTTGTCGCCGCCGAGAGGCACCCAGGGACTGAGATCCATGCTCCATCATTTCTAGGGAGAAGAAGAAAAGCCCCAGGAACACCCATAGAGGCTGTGCCAAGGCTTCCTGGGCACGGGATGCACCAGAAAGAGGATAAGGTACCCAAACTTCTTAGGAATCATTCAACACTCATTAACTGCTGTCCATTGGCAGATCCCAGGCCTCAGTCTGTTCATCTGTTCAAAAGTTTAGCAAGTATTTACTGAGGGCCACGCTCCTTATCCTACTCTCTCACAGGCTGCAAAATGCTCACATCACCAATTCCTTTCCTCCCAGCTTCCCTGTCCCTAAGCCACAAGTACATGTCTATGCATACCAAGGCACAGACACACCCGTAGCCACACATACATGCATATATATGAGTCTGCCCAGCCATACACACACCTTGCACAAGTGCAGAGACCCAAGGAAAGGGACATTACAGGGGCTCCTCACCTGCTATCACCAGGTGCTCTTGGTTTTGCGTATAGGTTCCAGGAACCAGCTCTTCAGCCAGGGATGTTTCCATCTCCTCCTTGATGCTAAGGGGTCCTCCTGCCATCACGGCCAGTTTTTCACTTTTAAGCTGTAGCCAAGGATACACAGGAAGCAGGGCGCAGAGCAGGCACTTGGAAAATCAGCTCTTCAAGGGGTAGGAGCTCAAGCAAGATATAGCTGGATATGGGGGTGGAGCCAGACTCCCTCACCGGGCTCAGGCCTTGGACCCAGCACCTTGTGTTCCTGCTGTATCTTGTTGGCTTGGTTCACAGCCTTCTCCCCTGCTACTCTGTAAGCAACTTAGAAGGAAAGATAAGTGTCAGAAACTTTGCCTGTGAGAACGACCCTGGCTCTCAGGTCACTTGATTTGGCCCCATTGAGGGGCAGGTGGGATCCACCCTCCAACATTTCTAAAGAGAAGCAAGTACTAAAAGAGAATAAATAAAATAAAGAGAAGCAGGTACTGGCACAGGACCCCAAAGCCAGTCAGTAGTCAAGACAGGGTTAGATCCCAAGACTGTCATGGCTTCTGCAAGCCCAGCTCTGGCTAGTAATCTAGGCCACAGCACCCCTCGGGAGGCATCCTCTGCAGAACACATCCTGTCTCTCCCAATCTGGAGTTCCCAGGGAAGGGAGATGGCCTTTTGACGTCATGGGAATAAAAGGTACAGCATGAAAAATATAGTCAGTAATATTAAAATAGCATTGTATGGTGACAGATGACAGCTACATTCATGCTGAGAATAGCATAATGTATAAACTTGTTGAATCGTTATGTTGTACACCTGAAACCAATATAACATTGTGTGTCAACTATACTCAAATGTAAAAACAAATTTTTTAAAGACTGCAACATCTCTCCCTGCCTAAGATTCCAGTGTGCAGGCCTGCCCTGCAAATTTTGGCCTTGCTAGCCCCACAGCGGCAGGAGCCAACTCCTTAAAAGAAATCTCTATGTACATACACATACATACATATATCCTATGGGTTTCTTTTCTCTAGAGAACGCTGACTGATACAACCACCAGAGGTGAACCCTCGGCTCTTGGGAATAACTCCAACGTCCCCGGGGGAAAAGGAGGCTATTTGCAAAAGGAGCCAAGCACAGCTGGGGCCAGGTGGGAGGAAGAGGAGGAAACAGGGAGGAAAAGAGGAAGGGAGGAAGGAAAGCGTGAGAGAGAGAGGGAAAGGCTGGAACTTGCCCAGAGAGGGTGGCATGGTCTGGGCTGCCTGGCCCCCTCCCTGTCCCCACCTATCCAGCTGACATAGGCTGGGACATTCCTGAGGGCCCTGAGGAAGCCCTTCCCAGATCCAGGGAGCAGCTGCAATGAAATCTGAGCTTTCTGGAAGGCCACCTTAGGAGCAGAGAAGTGTGCTTTTGTGGGACTCAGGAGCCTGGGAAGCAGGAACCATGGGTTTCTGCCTGGCCAGGGTTGCCAGATCGAGCAAATACAAATACAGAATGTCAATTGAATTTGAATTTCAAATAAACAACAAGGAAGATTTTAGTGTTAGTACACTCTGTGCAACATTTGAGACAAACTTGCACTAAAAATTTATTCATGGTTTATCTGACATTCACATGAGACTGTGTATCCTTTATTTTATATCTGGCAACCCTACATCCTGCCCATCCTCATCATGATCTCATGATTTGACCTTGAGCAAGTCTTTCCTTTCTTTGGGCCTCAGTCTCCCCATTTGACAATGCAGCTAACAATCCCCTCTTTACAGTGTGGCTGGAAAGCCCCCACTGTCTAGTGTGCCAACCTTGGGGGCTTGAAGGCCTAGAGCATCCCTAGATCAGAGAGCTCTGCCAAGCCTTATGGGGGCCTGGAGGATGGCTCATGGTTAGTGTAGGTGGTGGGCTTACAGAGACCTAGACCCCAGTGGAAGGCTCCCCAGAAAAGAGGGCCAGAGAGCCCAAAGTTCTTTCCACCCCAGAGACGAGACAGATGCCTCTGGAAAGGGGAAGGAGGGGTCCAGAGACTATCTGGCTGAGATGTGTGTATATGTTTGCAGTGTTTTACACAAATGAGATCATACATTTGAGGTACGTGCCCATTCTGCAGTTTACTTTTTTTTTTTTTTTTTGCAAGTACCTGAGACATAGTAGGAAAGTCCTTATAAAAGTTTAAAAGAAAAACACATAGAAATGTGTAACCTTACATGTACACACTTCAATGAAAAGAAGGCCAGGGAATTCTTGTCTATCACTTTCTTTCTTTCTTTTTTTTTTTTTAAGGTTTCATGGAATTTTTTTTCTCAGTTTTATTGAGAAATAAGCAACTTACTTTTTTTTTTTTCAAGATCTAAAGGGTGATATATAATATATATATCAATGCTATTATTCATAAAAACCTTGTTTAGTAATAAAACAAATTGCTTTGTTTAAATATGAATATTATCGTCTGCTTCTCATGGTTAGGAAATAATAGTCTTTCTGAAAAGCAGGTGCTTTTTCTACTACAACTCCATATCCCGGGCCTCATCTCTTTGAGTGCCTCCTCCGTTGCGTATTTCTGGATGTACTCTTTAATTTTCTGCTTGTATTCTTCTGGTCGGTGGAGGTACATGGCCGCAGCATCACCATTGAGAGGATCTATGGGGTTGGGATAGGCCAACAACTGGGGCAGGAAGGACTCAAATATATTGGTAAGATCATAGAGAGCTGTCCAAGTTTGATTAATTACATCTAGACACACAGTTCCTGACGCTTCATCAATGTTGGGATGGAAAATTTTCTTCATGAATCCTATAGATGGAGATTTGAAAGGGTATTTATCAGGAAGATCCACTCTAACTTTCCATACTCCACCTTCGTATGGTGTTCCTTGTGGTCCATAAAACTTCACTACAAATTCATTGAGTCCTCCCAGGATCGTAACCTCATGCTTACTCTCAATGAGCTTGACCACGTCCGTGTCCATCCGCCTCTTGCCCGGACTGGGGGATGACATGGTGTCGCCGCTGCCTCCCCGTCGCCTGCGCCGCCGCCTCTCTCCTTTCCTCGGCCCGTCTATCACGGGCCCCGGGCCCCGGCTCTGAGGAGCCCGCGGCCGCGCCGCCTTCTCGGTGGAGGTGGCCACACCCCCGCGGGCACTGTCCGGCCGAGTGGGGGTGGGGACCCCCAAGCAACTTACTTTTTTAAGTGCACAGTGTGCCTTGGGGATCTTGCACGTCAGAACAAATCTCCCTCACATCTTTTAAACACAGCTTTTGCTGCACAGCTGCGCCCCTGTTTATTGATCCGCTTGTGGACATTTGGGGTGTCTAGAGTTTTTCACTTTTATAAACAAGAAACCGTGAGCATTCCTGGACATGCCTCTTTGCACACATATGTAAATATTTTTGTAGAGCAGGTGCCTAGAAGTGGAATTTGTGTGGTTCTAGGGTATGTATGTGGACAATTTTTACTAATATTGACCGATATTGTCAGTGCCCTTCCTAAGAGACTGTGCCAAGTGGGACCTCAACAAGAGGAAGAAAGTTCTGTTTTCTTCACAGCCTTATCAACAGAAGATATTATGAAACTTTCTAAAAGGCATCAGTATGATGGGTAGAAAATGATATCTATCTCATTGTTGCTTTAATTTTATTGCTTTAATTATGAATAAACCTGAGCAATTTTTCATATGTTTATTGATCTTCTGTATTTCTTTCCTGTGAACTGTCTGCTGGAGGGCTTGGATCTTTATTAAAATGAGAGCTGTTTTATTAACAGAAAGGGATGGAGATGAAAGCTCTCCCTCCTTTCAAGCTAAGTGTCTCCAAAGAAAACATATCATCTTTTTCCCTAAAGGTGATCATGAGCACATAGCCTCCACTGGGGGCCAAACAATTCCAGTTAATTGCATCCAAGTTTGTGCTGAAATCTAGAGGGCATCCAGCCCCCCCAACGGAGCAGGCTGTCGTCGGCCTGTCTGCCTGCCTGTCTGCTCTTGTCTTATGTCTGTCTGTCTCTCTGCCTGCCCGACCACCTGCCTCCAGGAACCCGGGCCCAGGATCCGTACACCTGGGAGTGACACTGGGGCATCTTAGGCTAGTTGTTTCCCATGCTCTGAGCCCCTGTTTCCCATCTTCATATGGAAGAGTGGGCTAAAACCCAGTTTTAAACTGTTTTATGGTTTCAGGGAGGTATGCTGGGGCTACCTGGGCTTCAGGGCAGACTCCAGCCTCTCTTCACAGAGAGCAGCTCGCTTTTGTCACTTTCTCATATTGGGGTTCTATGGAAGAGACCATTCAAAGCTAGCAGGTGCAGTGGTCTACTGCATCCCAGCCCTGCTCAGTTTCAGGCAGCTACAGTCCCAAGCCCAAACGAACAACCCTGAATTGGGCTGTAAACTTAGATCCCAGGCATCTGGGAGCTTCCTCTCCTCTTGCTAATGAAACTTATGAACCTGTAAACAATTCTCCTTCCTGCTTCTGGAAGCAGCTGGCACTGATGTCATCCCTGGAGCCCCAGGGCCTCCCCGACCAGAAGGGAAAGGGAAGAAGGACTAGCAGAGCCTTGCATTCCTTAAAGACACAGGGAGGACAGAGGCATAAACTTCAGGGACTGTAAGGCCCAGGGAATGAGGACCACCTCGTAAGCAGAGAGAGGGAAATCAGTGGCAGGAGCATATGGGGGCAGCCCTTTGGACTCATTCCAGCACCCCCCCCATAGGGACAGGGCCACCAGCAGAAGGTTATAGGGAGTACCTCGATTTCCAAATGTGGGCACTTCTCATTCAGTATGACTGTCTTGAATCAAGACTGACCGGGTGTCAGGTCCTGAGACTAGGGATAAATTTCCTGTCTTCATGGAACTCAGGCTTAGAGGGCAGACAGAAACAAGCCGACAGACAGGAAGGAAGTCCACAGGTCTGTGAGGATAGTAGCGGGGGCTTGTTTTTGAGGCAGTGCTGCCCTAAATCCTGCTACACTCTGCCTTCCTGGAAATGTGGTGGGTGGTCCCTCAAGCTTTGTCAACCTAAGAGCGAGAGACTGACTCTTGTTCCCAGCACCGACAGCCTCTGACTGCACACCTCCTGGACAGCTCACTACTTCCTGAGGTGGCTTGGACTGGGTGGAAATGCTGGTCATGACCCCACCCACCCCCAAACTCTGGTCCAGTCTGGAGGGAGCAGCCCCAGCAGAAGTGGGTTAAAGACACTGACACAGAGCCACAGCCCTGACTGCCAAGCTTGCATCTCGGCAGTCATGGCCCTCCCTGCAGCCCCTGGAGTAGCCCCCACAGGAGCAGGCTGCCTGAAAAACTGCCGTACAGCTGCAACTGAGTGTAGGGGAATTGTTGCTAGCTAGGTGCCCAGAAAGGAACTCAGGACTGCACTGTGTGCCTGTGGGACAGAATAGCCCCAAAGAGCAAAGACTGGGAAGCTTGCCTTTGGGCTCCTGGTGTAGCCAGCTGCTGTCTCTGCTGCTCCTTGTCTCTGCTGGCCTGAGAATCCCTTGCCCCCAAAGCTGGCAGCACATTTGGAAACCTGGAGGGGTTTAGTTGTCTGCCTGTCAGTTACCTTTGCTCCATGTACAGGGAACCCTTGGAGTGGGTGGGAAAGGCCCTCTCTCCTGATCCCCGGCAAGGGCGTCAGATAAGGTGACCTGGCAGAGTCCATGGCCTCGCCTGCACAGTGACTCCTCAGATTGAAATGTATCTGCTTCCAATTGTTTCCATGTCCAAAGACCGAAATGTGATGTGTATGTAAAATTCAAGAGAATCAGAAGCCAAAGGAAAATGACCAACAATAATGAAGAGGTGGAAAAAATGGTGCAGCAGCTGCTCCTCTGAGCTGGAGAATGAGGTGGAGGAACCCAAGCTGAGAAACCCAGGCCTGAGAAGCTGCTTGTTTTTTCCAACAAGCAGATACTCCTCCCAGTATCCCCCATTTTAGGTGGACAAGCTGGGCCACTTCACAATTCGGTGGCAGGGCTTAGAAGCAAACCAATGCTTTAAGATTGGTGATCCAGGGTCCTTGGTAGAAGAGGAGGAGGTCGGTCCCAAGGGAAGAACTGGCTCAAGAGAGCCTCAGCAAGCAGCCTCCAGCCCCATGCCGCATTGACCTGCCCTTCACTCTCCCAAGACAGAGCTAGCAGGCAGATCCTAACACAAAGAACACACACGAGGGAGGATGGGGTGGGTCAGAGCCCAGGCTCTGCAGTCCAACAGTCCCCTCCCCGCAACCTCTTGGGGTTGGAGTCCTAGCTCCTCACTTAGCAACAATGTGCCTCAGTGGTCCTATTGGGGAAAAGGCAGGTCAGGAGGCATAGAATATGAAGCACTCAGCTCCTAGCAGAGTTAGTGCTTGAAGCCCAGCTGCTGGGATTCTCACAGAGGCCACGAAGCCTCCTGCTCATTATAAAAGGTGCTCCAGCTTTATCAGTGACCCATCTCTGCATTTTCTAGGGTCTTCAGCTTCTCCTCCTTGCCAGGATGATTCTCTTCAGCACTGAAATATCATCACATCTTTCTCAGCATGGGGATATTGGTTCCATGAGGGCAGAGACCTTGTCAGCCTCACTCAGCGCTGTCTGTCTCCCATGCACTTAGCACAAGACCTGACTCCTGGTAGGAGCTCATTAAGTAGTTGTTGAATTAAAATGACCTGAATATTAAAAAAAGAAAAAACACTGTCCTGCTTCGGTGTCTTGTCTCACTCATACTACTGGCCTTTCTCAATTCTTTGAAAATGTCGTCACCACCATGCACAGTGTCTCCACTCCTTTACCTCCTAGACATTCCTCTCCTCATTCTAGTCTGCCTTTCTCATCCACAATTCAACTGAAACTGCCTCAGACCAAAGTTACCAGCAACCTCCTGGCAGCTCCTTCCCATGAACCCACTTCACTCTTCATCTTACTTGACTTCTTGGAAGCATTTCACATCATTGTCCTCTCTCTTCCTCTGCTCTGACCCTTCCCAGTGAATGGTCCTGCCATCTACCCCACAGTCTGAGCCCCCAAGCCTCAGAGTCATCTGGGACTTCTCCCCACCCCTCCCAACCAGTCAGTCACTATGCATAGTTCTGTTCCACCTATGATCATTAATTTTATGTGTCACCTTGACTGGGCCATGGGGTGCCCAGATTAAACCTTGTTTCTGGATGTGTCTCTGAGGGTGTTTCTGGATGAGATCAACATTTGAATCAGTGGACTCAGTAAGCAGATGGCCCTCCCCAGTGTGAGTGAACATCACACAATCCTTTAAGGGCTTGAATAGAACAAAAGTTAGAAGAAGGGAAAATTCACCTACTCACTCCCCTTGTTTCTCTCTCTCGCTCTCTCTCTCTCTCCCTACCTGACTACTTCAGCTGGGATACTGGTCTTCTCCTGCCTTTGAACTCTCTCTGAACTCTGTCTCAGTGAACTCCCTCATTGGCTCTCTGGATCTCAGGCCTTTGGACTCAGACTAGAACTTTACCACTGGCTGTCCTGGATCTCCAGCTTGCAGAGGGCAGATTGTAAGAATTCTTGGCCTCTATAATTATAATTGCATGAGGCAATTCCTTATAATAAATCAATCTCGATAGATGATAGATAGACAGATAGATAGAAATATAGATATATAGATAGATATCTATAGATAGATAGATACATACATACAGATAGATGGAGAGAGAGAAAAAGAGATTACAGATATAAATATATAGATTTAGCTATATCTGCACAGGTTTCCCCTGCTATCCAAAAGTAGAGCATTCCTATGAAATCTTTCATAAACCAAAATGACTTAAAGGAAAGAAGCAATTACTATTAATTTATATGGAAAAAATGTTTGAGTGTCCTCAGACCCAAAAAATAACCTCTATCAGGCCTTTCTGATGCCTTAGGACACCTCTTGCTGACAGATGCACAAAATAAATCAAGATAAAGCACAGATCAGCCACTGTGGAAAACAGTATGGAGGTTCCTCAAAAAGTTAAAAATAGAATTACCCCTTTATAGCAGCAATGTCCACAATAGCCAAACTATGAGAAAAGCTCAGCTGTCCATCGACAGATGAATGGATAAAGAAGATGCGGTATATATACACAATGGGATATTACTCAGCCATCAAAAAGAATGAAATCTTGCCATTTGCAATGACGTGGATGGAGCTAGAGGGTATTATGCTAAGTGAAATAAGTCAGAGAAAGACAAATGCCATATGATTTCACTCACATGTGGGATTTAAGAAACAAAACAGACGAGCAAAGGGAAAAGAGAGAGAAGCAAACCAAGAACCAGACTCTTAACTCTAGAGAATAAAGTGATGGTTACCAGAGGGGCAAAGGATGAGGGGACGGATGAAACAGGTGATGGGGATGAAGGAGTGTACTTGTGATGAGCACGGGGTGATGTATGAAGTGTTGAATCCCTATATCATACACCTGAAACTAATATTACACTGTATGTTAACTAATTGGAATTTAAATAAAAACTTCCAAAAACAGATAAAGGACAGATGCTCATAGACACAGTTCAAAGCTGAGATGCCAAGTGCAGCTTGTGAAGAAGAAGCTTGGTGGGTGCACACAGCCTCTGGAACAGGTCACTGCAAAATAAATGTTGAACAATGGACAGTGTTGTCGCTTTTGGCCTATTTTTGTAAAAGCAAAAATCTTCTGCTGGTTTCTTTCAGTTAGCAAAAACAGGTACTAATGTAGGTCTTTCATAAAAGTGGTGTAAAGCAAACTTGAAAAGCGGGGGGGGTACCTGTATGTCCAACTCTCTATCTTTGTATACATCTCCTACTGGTTCTGTGTCTCTGGAGAACCCTGATACAACCTCCTCAATATATAATTCTGTGTTTGAGCAAAAATCTTCTCAGTAGTCTACTTCCCTCTGTCTTCTCTGCCACTCCCCTAGGCAATCCCGTCACCGCCTCTTGCCTGGATGACTGCATGGCCTCATACTTATCTCTTGGATCCTGTCATGACCCCTTCAGCCCATTACCCACATAACAGGCAGACTGATTATTTTAAATGTAACAGGCCTGGCCATATCCTCCTGCTTCTCAAAGATACCTCAGTGCCTTCCCATTCTCACTAGAGAGTAAAGACTACAGCCCTGAGTGTGGCCTCGGGGCCCTGCATGGGCTGCCTTCCCTCCGCTTCTCCAATCTCATCTTGCTCAAGAATTTCCCCTTACCCTACCCTGGCTTCTTCTGTTTCCTTAAAAATATGATAGCCTTGCTGGACTCTAGGCCCCTTCACATGCCATTCCTCTGCCTGATTTAATTGTCTTCCATGCTCTTCTGCCTGATTGATTCCTACTTCAAGCTTTAGGTTGGGCCTGGCTTCCTCAGGAAGGCTTTCTCTGGCAGCCCGCAGCCCCAGCCCCCCAGACTTCCCCTACCAGAAAGTCCAACATGGTTCATTGCCGTGGCTTGTCTAATGCCTTCCCCACAAAACTAGGCCCAGAGTTCCAGAAAGGGAGGACCTAGCATGTTGCTGTACTCCCTTCTGGGGCCCCATGGCTTGGCTTGAAGCAGGGACACAGCCAGCTTCTGGAACACCATGCTCTGTCAGCACCTACCCCCATATGCCCTTGTCAGCCCAGGATTCAGGAGCGCTAGGACTGACTGGCCCACCCACTGTGCTGTTGCGATTTAGTGTAACCAGTCTGATATGAAATGTTAGCCAGCCTCTATTTTTGTAGCACATAAAGCCTAGTGAAACTGAATCCATCATGCAGTTTGAGTTCTTCAGAGAAATTGCTGAAAGTTACTGTTATTGGAGCTGCTAGTCTTGTGATTCTTAAAAAAAAAAAAAAAAAAAAAACATATTTTGTCTATAAAAAAGTCTGAGGGGACACAAAGATTTTGTCTATTCTTCAGGCTTTGGGTTCTCACATCACTCTCTTCAGAGGGACCCTGGGAAAACTATGCTGAAGCCCACTTCTGTCCCAATCCCACCTGGGCTGTTAGGACCTTTGGCAACTGGCCCAGGCCTGTCCATTTGTGGCAGGGAAGAAACTGCTGTGGGGGGCCTGATTTCAGCCTGACAAGGTGCCCCTGTCTTTGCCAGCATCTCAGAGAAGTCCTGATGTCCACCCCCAAGCTTTTCCAGAGTGTGTGTGATGTGCTCAGGGTTGGGATAAGGAGCAACAAAGTCTCCCCCTGCTACAGATGGAATGTTATAGCCTGAATTGTGTTTCCCGCCCAAACCGTCCCCCCACATTCAGATGTTGAAGTCCTGACCTCCAGTACCTCAGAATATGATTGTTTTGGGAGATAGGATCTTTAAAGAAGTAACTGAGGTTAAATGAGATCAAAAGTGTTCACCCTTACACCAAGAGGAGATTAGGACAACAACACACACATAGGGAAGAACATGCAAGGTCACAGGCAGAAAAGGGTGGTCTACAAGCCAAAGGGAAAGGCTTTAGACGAAACCAACCCCGCCAACACCTGGATCTCAGCGAACCAACCTCTAGAACTGTAAGAGAGTACATTTCCATCATTTAAGCCATCCAGTCTGTGGTACTTTGTTATGGCCACCCGAGCAAACTAACACATGAAGCTTGGGTCCTAACTGGAGAATATAATCAATCAACACATTTTATTTCATTGAACACTGACCGTGAGCCACTGTGCCGAAGTGTAAGGAAGAAGTGGGGAGAAAAACGGACAGTCAACGGGAAAACAAAAGCAAAGTAACCTCCAAAGGAGACTAGCAGTGTCATATGAGTGGCCGGGGTGTGGGGCATTCAGGAGAGACGTGAGTTCCCCTTGATGAGGGCAGCACTTCCTGTCTGTGAGCCCTTGGTCAAATGGCCTTCCTCCCCTCAGCTATCACAGGTTTGTTGGAAGGATTGTCTCAGTTAATGCATCCACAAGGCCTGGCATACCCTAAGTGCTCAAGAAATGCCGTCTATGATTATTTCCAAGCACAACTCATGGATCCTTCCCACTATCCCTCCGTCCCTTCAGTAGGTGCAGTCTCGAACCAGCTGCTTGAAGAGTTTGGCAGTAATACAAGGTGGAGCCTTGGGGAAAGAATGACAAAAGGGATCCCAAGCCACACCCGAGAAGCAGTCTCTGCCGCCTTCCCTGCCATCACTCCTTTAAGTCTCTGCTCCTGACTTGCCCTCACGGTCCATAAGCAATCCCAGTGCCTTGGCCCCCCAGCCTATGGTCTTGTGGTACAACACGAAAACAAGAAAGCGAGGCCCAGTCCCTCGGATGGTGCCCAACAGGGACTTTGGGAGCCTGGGGCCTCCCTCATGTATTAGCTTCCTCTTGTGGGCTAGCCTAGGACTCTAAGTCACTGCCTAGAATGCTTGTTTCTGACAAAAAGAGCCTAAAGTTCAAAACCCATATTCAGAATGTGACCCCACCTGTGTCCTGGAGTCTGCTTGAAGAGTATTCACTTGACTTCTCCACATCCCCAGAAGGTTGGCTTCATTCAACAAGCCAGTCCCAGATAAGAATGGAACCCAAGGCCCCTGGTTGTCAGTTCTGGCATTTAGCCTCCACATTCAATCCTCGAAGGAGGCCCTAAGTTTCATTGTCATTTTCTCATCACTGCCATGGCTTTTCCTATTAAAGCGTGGATTATTTTCATTACTGGGGATTGGCCATATCTCACCCCACACCAACAGCCGGGAGCGTTTGGGGCTAAGACTATGCTTCCACCAAGGGGAAGCAAGGGCATCCTTGCCCTCTGAACAGTCTCTGACTCTTGCCATCCTCTGAATTTAGGAAGCAGAGCCAGAGCGATGCCTGAGTTTTAAATCCTACCTTCACAGGACACAGAAAAATTTCTCCCTCCCAACCCTTCCCCAGCTCTGAAACCAAGCAAGGCATCCTTTTAGCAAAAGAGACAACTCTGTTAGTAACCAGGGATCAGGTGACAGGGAAGTTGCTAACTTGATTGACCACAGACTTTACTAACCGCATCCCAGGGGGATGGGCCAGGAGATCATCTTACACACATGAGGACAATCTTTAGAACCCAAGACATCTCTGCTTCCTGCTTCTAAACTGGTTTGGGCTGTTTCCTTATCCACAGTCTGACTTTTGGGAAAAACAAGTTTGGCCCACAACCATCCATTTCCTCCGCGAAAGTTTGGGAGTCAGCAGGGATCCAAGACTGATGAGGACAGGACACAAGTGAATGCCATGTGCTCTTTATTATTATTAATTATCTTCTTGTACAGAAAGAGATGAAATTTAACAGCTAAACTCAACAATTATAAAAAGAGAGAGAGAGAGAGAATAGGAAGCAAGTATATTGGTTGCTCCCAGGCTCCAGTGAAATCCTGACATACTACTGAATGTACAGATTTCCCAGCTGACACGGGTCAACACATGAATACAAGCACAGTTTAAAGTGGTACCAAAATTAATCCATTTCACAGTAATCATGTCTATAAGCTCAGTTGCACATATCAGGGTTTCCACTGTCACAAATTCACAATCACAGAGTGAAATAGCAGGTGTGTTCAGGCCTGGGAAAGTGGCATCCAGAAGGGGAGATAGATCGGGAGGCAAAAGCAGCTGTGGGATTTGTTCCAATTTTGAATATCTGTGTTAATGCTCAGGCTGGGGGCGGGGGAAGGGCAGGCACCATTCAACGGTCAGATGTCTCAGTACAGTGTTTGGATATCCTTGTCAGAGAAATTCTTGCTAGAGAGAGACTCACCGCCCACAGCCTGTGAAAGGAAAACCTCCCTACATTTAATATTTGGGGACGAATGATGGGAGTGGCCAGTCTGATAGCAAAACATCTGCTTTACAGAATATTTAGCAAGATACACAGTTACGTTACTTTAAATTGCAGGCTAGGAGAATGAAAACCTGCAGCACCCACCCTTCCCACAATGGAGAGAGACCAAGAGACCATCCTATGCAGAAAGAGCCTTACACACGAGAATTGCTGAGCCCCAAAGCTGAAGGCACGGTGAAGGGATCCCTGATGTCTTGAGCCTTTTATTTGAAAAAGGTGCTCATTTTAACTAGATCCCTCTTACACATAGGACCCTGAAAATTGACTAAAGCAAAGAATATTTCAAATATTTCTACAGAGCAAGAATTGCAGATACCATGAATTATCTTAAGTTGTGATTTTCTATAAGTTCTGAATTAGTGGGCTTCAAATTCATAGGCTTTTACCATGGTTGCAGGCAGTCTGATTACAGTACTTTGAAATTAGCTAATTATACTGATTAGTATGAGCGGAGTTCAGTGGGGAGGATGTACTTGTTTCTGAATGGGCACAATCCTGAAATGGAGCTTCATTACTTGTCAAGCCGAAAAGCTTTGCTGCCCAGCTCTCCATCTTGGCCTTGAACATGAAAGCACATGCAAGACATAGCACACAGGCACACTCTTAGAAACACAGAGAGTAGGTGAATAGGACCCCCCCTTCCCCCCACCCCCGACAAAAGAACAATCTAGAGGCAGTGTTGTTTTTTCCTTCTTCTCATGGGATACCATTTGTTTGTCAAAAGATCAACCCGCAGCCAGAGAGGAACCATCTGGCTCCAACTCCTTAACAAAAAGACATTTTCCTGTCCCGAATTCCTCATATTCAGGCCACCAGAAAGGCCACATCCAACCCACTGGGCAGATTCCTGTTTTCCCAAGCACCCTAAGGAATTCACACTAATGGCAGTGGGATTCACAAGCAGAAGAGGAGGCTCCTGCTAGATGTTGCTTCACTCTTTCTCCTGTGCTTTCGTCTTGAAAACCCCAGGCGATGGGGAGCAGCGTGGTGGGACAGGTTTGCGATTCTCATTTTAAAAAGTCTTAAAAAGGTTTTTAAAGCCTTTTCTCTTTTTTCTTAATGAAAAATATCTGAATAACTAGCCCCACCAGTCCCAAAGTCAATAGTCACACATTTTTTCCCACCAAAATATAAAAACAAAAAATAAAAAGGCCCAGGAGTGCTCAGATCTCCTTCAGCTGGTGATACCCACAGAATAGGAGCAGAGGCGGGGGACACCGGGCCAAAAGGGTGTGTGAGTGAGGGGTCCCACAGGGTGGAGGCTTAGTCTTCTCCCAAAACTTTTTGTGAAGTGGGGGCAGAAGGTGGTGCCTTTCCGGGGGCTTGGACAGCTAATCTCAGCTTTCCTCCCTCAGGGCCCTGTCAAAAGCCCGTCCAGCCCCAGGACGTGACATTCCTCCCTTCAGACTGGTACAAATATAGCCACACACCGGCTATTGTTTCACGCACACACACAAAGTCCCAAAACAACAAAAATGTGGCTACTACAGATTCAGCATCATATCAAACCAATGTCCATACAAAGACAGAGTTTGAAAAGATATATACAGAGCATTCTTAAAAGCCAAATGTGCACCGCGAGGAGTTATGACCATTGTGTACTGTACAGTCTTTTTTTCCTACAATATACTGCAAAAAACATCCCAGAGACCACGGTAGCAAGCCCACCTGGAAGAATCCTGCGAAGCACCTTAACAGGAGAACACAGGGCCCTAGGAGCTGCCTGTGAGCTCTCCCTGCGTGCTGTCCTCCACCGGGCCAGGCTCCTGCTTCCCGCTCCCTCCCATCTCCACCCAGCTTGGCAGGGAAGGGCTCAGCAGATGCCAAAGGCAGCAGGCATTCCTTGGCCTACTCCCTTCGGCTCTGGTCACTAGGGCCCATGCCTGGCTCTCTTCTCCCATGCTCCCGGGTCACACGCAGGCAAATGCCTGAGGAAATGCTGGGAGGGCAGGGCTGGCCCCAGAGCTTCGGGCCACCCCAGGTCCTCCAACATGGCCAACCAGGAGTGACCACAGCCTCCGTCGTGGAAAAAGGGGGGCCTTTCTAGGCCCAAAAATACCTTTGTGAGGAAGGGCAAGAGTGTAGTGTTAGAGGCCTGGAGGGAGGAAAAGGGGAAGGAAGGAAAGGTGGAACGCACCTGGTCAGCACCTCGGGCATCAGGGAGCTCTTGGGGAAGGAGGAGGGGGCACAAAGTGTCAACTGGCAGGAGACTGAGATCCCAAGTTGAGACTCAACATCAGCATCACGTGAAGGCCTCCACTAAGACTGGTCTCCTATAAGCTACACATTTCTAGAAGACTCTTCCTAAGGGCAAACTGCACTAGCTCCCCAGTGCTTCAAGAACTGCACAGGCATTAGCTCAGTCAGCCTCCCATAAGCCTGGGAGGGAGTGGGAAGGATGGAAAACCCCAGCCACCAGGTCAAGTCCTCGAAGCTGGTGGCCTCATTAGGATAGGAACACAAGTCTCCTAAACTTGAAGCATGTCCCAAGGCCAGTCCTCAGGATGGGAGGGGCCTCCAGAAGTCATCTGTGGCCTCGAGGCAGGGTTGCCGTCAAAGAAGGAGACCCGATGCCTGTCTCGGAGAGCTGTTTGGACAGAAAGAAGCTTGTCTTCTCAGTGGCTTGCCGAAAGACCCTGGCTGTGCACTCGTTTGGACCCCACAAAAATTTGCTACATTTTTGAAAGCACCACAGAGGAAAAGTGATTTGGCACTGGGGCCAGAAGGATGGACATGCGGGGGTGAGGGGAAGCGGTATCGAGAGTCTTTTACGTGGTCACGGTCAGTTAAAGGGCAGGTCACTTCTGCCCCACTGCCGTCCAAAGCCTCACTGAAATGCAGAGGTGGACAGCCCCTGGGCCAGAGAAGGGGGTTACTAAAAATGGACCAGCACCTGGCAATAACACAGCAAACCCTGAATGGGCCTTTGACCCCACGTCACAGGCTTCCCCACCTCCCCTGCCAAGAAATTTCTAAAAAGGGACACTTCAGGATCTTTTCCCCAGGTGGACATCATTCTTAAGGAGAAGTCAGTCATCTGAAGTTCAAGTTCAACTCAATGCACCTGCTCACGAAAAAGGAAGTATCCTAAAAGTTCAAAGCCAGAAAGCACAGTGCTGAGGAGGCCAAGTTCATGGGTTTAGTCATTCCAGGGGCCAATCAACCTCTGTAGGAGAAAACTTCAGCTCTCTGCCCCAGCCCGTACCCCCAACCACTCAGAGGCCACGGGCTCCCCAGGCAGGGTCACCAGCGTTAGTTTTCCCAGTGCTCTGATTGGGCTCAGGCCAGTGCGTAGCAGTTTTAGCACAGCCGGTACACATGTCTAGAAAGCCAAGGTCTTCAGGAGGCCAAGCACACTAGAACCAGAGCTAGCCTCCAGGATGGCCAAGTTCACACAGGCCTCTCGCTCAATCCGGCAGCTAGGCCCTTGCCCCTCATCCTTCACACACCCTGTCCTCCTTCCAGCTTGCTCTAGATACTCCTTTTAACGTGGTCAGCAGCGTGGGGGTGGGTGTTGGGGCAGGGGAGTCTCACAGATCTGATTTCCCTCAGTCCCCTGTGAATGGCCCAGGTTATATTGTTTTGTTTTATTGTGTTGGTCACTTATTCATTTGTTATTACCCTTTTTTGTAGTGGTTGTTCAGTCCTTGTCCCCGTGCTCAAAATGTAAGCAAAGACAGAAAGCACAGGACTGTTGAGGAAAAGGGGTTGCTGAAGGGCTAGCTTCTCTCCCTCATCTCTGTGGCCTAGGCTTCCAGACAGAGACAGGTCTCCAGCCAGCTGCGTGGCCCTGGGGCCTGAGCCTATGGACATTCTGGCCACAATCAACTCAATGGGGTAATACCTTTGGCATAAGAGAAGCCAGTTCCTGATGGGAGGACAGGACGGCGGGAGCATGGGGGTTTTGGGAAGAGCTGGGCTCTCTAGCCTGTGGCTCTCCCCAGGGGCTTTGACGCATATGTGTTCCCTACCCCCCCCCGCCCCCTCCACCTGTCTCTGACAACTGACTTCCTACAAATCCACGGTTAGGAAATTATTTGGCAACAGGAGGCTAAGGCTGTTTTGTGGTGGCACAGTCTTTAAAAAGTAAAAAATAATAATAATAATAGGAGACCCCTTAAAGAGGCTTTCACTCCGGACAGGCCAGAAGTCCTACTACTTGTCCAAGCCAGGGTTGGTGGCCACTATCTCCTCATACTTCGGGGGTGGGTCGCTATAAGAGACGCTCGCCTCCTCATTGCTGCTCTCCTGGGGCGCAGTCACCTCCTCATAGGATGGGGGAGGAGTGGCACTGGACAGCCTGGAGAGAGAGAGCTCAGGGAGGTAGAGGGTGCTCTCCAGGCGAACCGTGGTTCTGCCCCCTCGACTGGGCCCCAGCACCACCTGTGCATTGTTCCCTGCCTCACGGTGCCCAGAGGACTCCCCCTGGCTATGGCCAGTGCCCCGGTACACCATGACCCGGGGGAGACTGTGCCCGGTGCGACTGGCCAGGTACCGGTTCTGAGCATACGACGGGTGATGACGGGTGGCTTTCTGCAGCTGGCACCTCCAGATGATGAACAGGGCAATGACAATCAGCAACGCCACCCCCAGAAGGGGCACCACCACGTACATGGCATCTGAGCTTTGTGCAGGGTCTCGGACTGAGTAGACTGCGTTCGGGTACCCCTTCCAGAACTCCATCTACAAAAGAAGAAGGGCCGCTTACACTTACATGCAAGACCTCATGCCCCAGCTGGACCTCAGAGAACTTCAGCTAGTCTGGCAAGTTCAGCAGGGCCTGGGGCGGCTCCCCACCCTGCCCATCTGACTGGCCTCTCAGCTACCTGAGAGGCTATGGAATGCACCCAGGACAAAGGACAATGCTCCCAAGTGAAGGGGTCCCCAGAATCAGGCAGCTGGGACTCTAAGGACATGTGGTCTGTCCTTCCATGGCCTGAGACTGGGCTATCTTTCCTTCATTGTTTCTGACTGGCCTGAGATACCAGGGCCTGCTCTTGTTATTCCTGAGGCTGCCCCTGCTCCCAGAAGCCGGCCCCGGGGCAGTACGTGCCGTTTTCTCTTTGTCCTCGAACACCTCCTTGACCTCCTCGTAGCTGCAGACCTCCTCCATGCACTCTCGCTCAATGGTGCCCTGGCGCAACTCCTCCAGGAATTCATTGGCACGAGGGAACCGTTTCAGGACCGAATGGGCATTCTTGGCCTCCAGAAACACTGAGGAGAGATCTGCACTGAAGCTTGGAGTGGGCAGGGGCCCAGGGGCTCCTTTAAGCCAGACTCAGCCCAGACACAGAAGCATAACGAGGAAGGGAAGCAAGACAAAGTTGGCAGGCAAGACACCACCCCAGATACGGCGAGGCCTTTGTAAAAGGGATCGAAAGGCTGACTTTCTCTGATGCCATGACGTGTCAGCTTAGAATACCACCGACCCGAGGAGACTCGGGCCTCGGGTGTTACGGAGGAAAATGGGATCTGAATGAGAGGGAAGGGCATGTTGCTGGGGACCAGTAACAAATCACCGCATATGACTCTACAAGGGCGGCATCCCTCCACCTGAATGGCCACCTGGGCCATCATCAATAGTCCGGCCCCAGACAATCTAGTACAAACCCATTCTGGCCTAGATCAGGGCATTGGGTGCATACAAATCTGAGAGTGCCTCTGGGAAAGGGGTAGCAGGATCTATGTGGGGAATCTAAGCCTTCGTAGACCGCACAGATGCTTCCTGCAAAAATGTCACTGAATGCTGGTCATATCTACTTATTCCAAAGGGAGGGACCCAGCTACGGTCCAGCCACCCAGCTATATGCCTCTGTAAACCTGAGCTAGTTCTCCTGTCAACCAGCCCCTTGCAGGGCCCAGGGAGGCAGGGCTTTACCAAAAAGCAGGTGCCCTGTAGTACTAGTTTCTCTCATAGCGGCCTGGGCAGGTGCACATCTACAAGGTCACCCTGGGGACAGGCAAGCTGGGAAGGACTTGAAAAGTGAGCATGCAGGGCACCTGGGTGGCTCAGTCGGTTAAACATCTGCCTTTGGGTCAGGTCATGATCCCAGGGTCTTGGGATCGAGCCCTGAATCGGGCTCCCTGCTCAGAGGAGAGCGTGCTTCTCCCTCTCCCTCTGCCTGCCTGTCTGCCTACTTGTGCTCTCTCTCTAACTCTCTATGTCTCTGTCAAATAAACAAATAAAATCTTAAAAAAGAAAAAGAAAGAAAAGTGAACAGGCACCTTTCCTGCGAGCCCCTGGGCATGGCCCCTCACCCCTTGGCCTGGGCCCTGGCAAACTCACCTGCCATTGTTCCTCCCTCAGACCCAGCGTCTCACTTGCCTGGCAAAGGAGAAAAGCAGAGTCACAATGAAATCACACCCCAAAGCCTACAGGGCACCTTCTTGGCCCTGGGATGTGACTCCCACCCCCGCTGGCCTGGTCAAAGGTCAAAGGAGCACCTCATGAGGCAGGTCACCCCCTGTGCCACTCACAGCTTCCCATCCTTCCCCAGGCTCTCTTCCCAGAGCTCCCCAAGGCCCAGCAGAGCCCAAAGCTAACCTTCCAGCTCTTTGCCCCATGAACAGATTCAGAGAGCGTAGAACACCTAAGGGTTGACTTAATTCTTAAAAAAAAAAAAACCCATCCTACAGGCCAAGGTTCCTCCTTCCTCACTTCCCTCGACAGATCTTTGCACTGTTGAGTCGGAAAGGACCTCAGAGAGACAGAGAATTACGTGAGGTCAAGCACATCAACAGTGACAGGGACAGGACCCAATTTTTGGAACTCAGTTTGCTCACAATGGCAAGTCCCAGATACCTCTAATGACAAGCATGTTCCTTGAAATCGGGCAGCACACGTTGAAGAAGCAGGTACTGGCCAAGCTTAACGCGGGGAACAACAGCCATCTCAGAAGTCTCAGCCCAAACCCAGGTGCCCCGCTGTTGGTCTGCACCGGACAAGGCACTGAGGATCTTCTGAAACTGAGATGCTAACTCAATGCAAGTGTTGCCTCTCATGTGAGCTATTGTCCAAAAGCCTTGCTCCTGCTCAGGAATCATCCTGCCACTATGTAAACCGTGGCCACAGCACAGTGCGCTCCGCACCACACACTCCCACTCACACACATATTCCAGAGCTCCGCCCAAGCTGTCCACATCTGGGAGCGATCACCCCGCTGCCCCCCTCCCCAAGCAGAAGCTCTGGTTTTATGACTTAACTGGATGCAAGACCCCTGAACGGTGTAACCCGTCGTGCCACCCTTTTTGCCTAGGCTGCCAGGAAGTTCAGTGTTAACAGTGACCATCAAGCCCAGCTGTTGAGCACATATGCTTCTCCCGTGCAGCGTGGCATACGCTTTTCTATTTATGTGTTCAGACCTCATGTATGTTTCAAATATACCTTCTAATCCTTTCGGCAAACAGGTAGGCTATAAATCATAAATAAAATTAAAGCTAAAGGAAAAACAGCAAATCTAACATCCATCTATGGAAACACCATGTCAAGGGGGATTTTCTCTCTTGAACCCCACAATGATCCCACCCAAAATTATCAGTGAGTGAATGTGTCAACAGATGGGTCTACCATTGTAAGAAAAGTTGGCCCTTGATGTTTTAAGAGTGAAGATAGACTATTTATCTCAAAATTCTGCTTCATTACTGATCTCTGGGTTTCCGGTGGGGGGGGCATGCTGTTAGGGTTTTCATTGAATTAAAAACGGAGCTGTTGTGTCAGGGTTTGAAAAGAATGAGTAAAGGCTGTACTAATAAGTGAAGACAGAAAAACATATATTTCATTGCCTATCAAAGAGAACTGCCGTGTGATTTTTGTTCATTTTTATGTGGAAAAATTACATAACAGCTTACATATAGCCACCTCTTGTCCCAAACACACCTGACTTTGATGCATGCATATCCACACAGATCATAGCCACGAATGCGTGCTCTCCTGACACTTGCCAAAGTTATTAGTTCATTTTTAAGCTGCAAACAAGCCAGGAACGCCCCCCAAACAGCTCACGGGGCATGACCTACTCCATTAATAATTCTGTAGCCACCATCACTGCTGCTGCCTCCCCCACCTTCCCCAAAATTTAGCGCCTGCTTCTTCCCCTATAAATACACCATCAATAGGGCGTTGCTATGGCAACAGCGAGGAAGCGTGAGGGCTCCACGACAGAGAATGCTGCTGCAGTCACGCATGTACATGTCCCTCCTACCCCTGGTGGATACTGTAAGGCTGATTGTAGGCCGAAGGAATTTTTAACCCACTCCCCCCAAGAACACAGCTGAATCCTGAAGGCCTGGAAAGGAAGGCAGGCAGGGACGGGCCGCCACAAAGATCTTCCTTAAGACCCCAGCCTAGGCTGAAGCTTCCAAATCACAGCACTCTGAAACATCGCTCCCAAAGTCCCTCGCATGGGGACAGGAGGCCATCAGAGCACCGGGTGTCCCAAGACGTAGCCTCCAAACCACTTCTCCAAATCCTAGCCCTTTTCATTCCCCTCACTCAGAACTGGTCGCCAGGAAAGACTTCTGTGATCGCCAAAGCGCATGACTCATGAACCTACCCAGTGACATGGAACTCCCAAATTATGCTCAAACTCTGGGCCCTCCTTGTCTCCTTCCACTCATGCCAGCCCTTAAAGTGCTCGCCCTTGCCCACCGTCGCCCTCCAGCTGCGCCCTGCCCAGGAACTCCAGCTTCTGGCCAAGCCACGCTCTTCTCCTGGGTCTGCTCGAGACCCCCAACGCCTTGGCCCGGCCGGGCCGTCCCCCAATAATGCCCCGCGCCCGGTTCAGGGGCCCTGGACACCGAACCATGCCCTCGGGGCTGGGGCACCCAACCCAAACGGCCTCACCGTTCTCTGGGCCCGGGAGGCGGCCGCCCTGTTTGCGCACGCAGCCCGCCACCTCGCTGCGGCGCCTCTTCCAGCAGGGCCCCTGTCCCCGCCCACCTGCTCCCCGTCGGCCAAGCCCCCGGCCCGGCCCAGCCGTCTCCTCCCTCCCTCCCTCCCCGCCCGGCGCCCTCCGGCCGCCACGGGGGCCCCCGTAACCGGCCCGGCCAAGGCCAGGGCCGAGGTGCGCCTGGAGCTCCCGCCCCTCGCAGCCGGGCGCCCGGGCCCTGCCCGTTACCTCGGCACCCCCCTGCCCCTGCTCTCCTCTGGGGACTCCGCCGCTGCCCGCCCCCCACGCCCTGCTGCGCCAGGTCTGGCCTCGCGCCCCGCGCCTTGCGCGCCACCCTCGAGCGCCACGACCACCGTGCCCTGATCGCCAGGCCGCGATCG